GAGGAGGAGGAGGAGGAGGAGGAGGAGGAAGAGGAAGAGGAGGTGAGGAAGAAGCTGCAACCGCATCTTCAAGGGTCCAACTCAGCCAGAGCGGGCAGCGGTCAACCTTAATTTTTGGCAGGAAAATCGAGCTGCAGACTTTCCTCGAACTCAGCCTTCATCTTCGTGACTTACATCCACCCACCAACCTTCATCAGCCCACCCCGGGCCAACACAAGCTTCGAGACGGCGCACTCAAGCTCACTTGTCATGCCAACCACAACATGATATCGGCAGCTGAAGCTGGCGCCGTCGCTCCTCGTCCAGCTTCTCCTATTCCCACCCACCCTGGTCCGCCGGAAGCTGGACCAAGCAGCAGGAGAGACGACGATGCGTCCTATCGCTGCCCATTCGCAGGGTGCGACAAGCGCTATACCAAGGCAGCCAAGCTTGCTCAGCATGTACGCAGTCACACCGGCGAACGGCCTTTCATTTGCACCCATCCGGGATGCGATGCGAGCTACATGAGAAACGAGCATCTCAAAGCACACCAGCGCCGCCATCAGGATCCATCCGCAAAGCCATTTGCTTGCGACGAAGTGGAGTGCGGTCTCCAATTCTGGACGTCGAGTCAACTGAAGAACCATGTGCAAGCTTGTCACATGGATCATATGTCGTCAGCGACCGGAGCGAGCGCGCATGACTATCCATGCACCGAGTTCGGATGCGACCTGACCTTTCACAAATGCAAACAGCTCCGCCAACACATACGCGAACAGCACGGCAGCTCCTCTACATCACAACTGCAAGGCGATGGGGCACAAACAAACGAGCAGCAAGAAGGTGCCTCCGCTGCTGACGCGCGATCGTTTCCCTGTCCATATCCTGGTTGTGACAGACGTTTTGCGACCAACTCGAAACGCAAGACGCATTATCGGACACACGAAGACGGCCGCTACACCTGTTCGATGGAGCATGCACAGCCACAGGATGCCGAGTCTGATGGGCAACCTCCCTTTGTGTACATCTTTCCGACCTGGTCTGCTCTGCAGGCGCACACGAAGGAGATGCATCCGCCGGTCTGCCCGTGGCCAGGCTGTGGCAAGCAATTCCAACGCCAGGACAACCTCAGAGCGCACTACCGTAGGCACGAAACCCGAAAGCTACGGCTCGAAATGGAGTCAAAAGTGCTCAAAGGCAACGACGAGAGCGCGTTAAATCATCTTCGTGCGGAGCTGTCCGATGACAGCTACGAGCCCATGTCGGAGGAAGAAGAAGATGGACGGGATTTGCAACAAGATCTACTGACAAGATCAACCCGAATGTGTCGTCCGAGCACACCACCCGCACAGCCATTGACACAAGAGCAACTCATACAGGAAGCTGCCCAGCTTCACTCCTCAAGACCTCGGAGAGGCGGCGTCTTTCGCAACCTCGCTTCGCCTGCACTCAGCACCGTCAGCTCTGTCTCGGGCAAGACAGCATCCGTTCGGCCAGGAAGCATTTCGACATCCATCACGAGCGCTCGAGGCGCATCGTCGACATTTCCTTGCACTTGGAACGGATGCAGCAAGGTCTTCACGCGCAAGTCGACGCTCTCCATCCATGTGCGAACCGCACATCTCGGAGAAAGGCCCTTCGAGTGTACACATTGCGGTCGCAGGTTTGCACACAAGCATCTTGTTTCACGACATCACAGAGTATGCAATGGTACGCGATCGTCGCCCGAGAACGGTGCTGTCGGCGGTAGCAGACTTCGATTCTCTACCTCTGATGTTCAGGGGCAAAGGGACGGGCCTGGCGAATCTGATGCAGCAGGAAGCAACCCAGACGAGGACGATAGCTCGACCGTCTCCGCAGAGACAGATCTCGAGGAAGAGCCGAACACCGACGAAGCGAGCCAACCTGTACGCATCGAAAACAGCGTCACGACCACAGTGAGGCCAAGACTGCTGGATCTGCTTACCGGACGCGGATACTCAGCAGCTGAGAAAGCTGCGCCTGCTTTTGATCAGTCGACTCCAAGTAAGCGTCAAGTCACGGTGGACGACGGTCCCGCAGTCAAGAAACGACGTACGACACGAGGTCGACTCTTCGCTTGTCCCTGGGCTCAGATCTGCCACGAGCTTGACCGACAAACCCTGGATCCTGCGTTACACTCAAGTGACAGTGGTGAAAACAATGTCGTGACTCCGGGAGAGCCGGTCAACGGCAACGGCAATGGCAGTACAGACATGGCCTGCGGACATCGCTCCAAGAGACTCTACGATCTCCGACGCCATCTTCGAGCAGAACACGGCCTTGATCTGACAACAGACGAACTCTCGGCCATCACACGTCACACAGCCTGGACCCATGTACAATAGCCCAGCATCATCGTTGCGCAAATACCCTAACATCGATTGAAACACCTCTTGTCGATTCTTTGCGTCAGTCATCCGGCCAGAACAGTACCCTTTCTATCGACTTCCGATACTGATCGAAGCGTGCTGGATCTCTGTCGGTAAACCGCATCTCGACCTCTTGCCATACCTCGCTGACCTTCTGCCGCGTGAAACCGAGCGACTCGAAGAGCTTGATCGAGGGAGCATTGCTGAGTGAGATCTTGCAGGTGAGCCAGTCCGAGGGTATTGGAAGCGAGCAGTGCGCTGTATCGGTCGATGCTGGGACAGATGCTGTGCTAAAATTGTCAAGGGGCGCAGCGACAGGCGTCGGATCCGATGTTACGAACGCAAACATCATCTCGAGTGCCTCGCGTGCGATTCCTTTGCGACGATAGCTGTGCTCTGTTCAGGTCACGGAAAGCGTAGCTCGATCAGTACAGGCTTGGCAGCCACTGCAAAGCCTGCTTCACTGAACTCACCCGCAATCATGATTTCACATTCTGCGTCGAACACCGCATCCTTGACTGAGCTTTGCTCCTCGGCGTTGTCCTCATCTTCATCCTCTTCATGCCGTTGGTTGAAGAAGATGTTGACGTCGCCGACCATCTTACACTCGGACAGAAACTCGTCCACGCCGACTGCGGATCTGGTCCCACGGACGTCCTCATCAGGACGTGCGAGGATGATGAAAGTGAGCTTGTCCTCGTCCACTGCCCAAGATTGCTGCATCTCGTATTCTTCTTCGAGGGATAGAGGCTCGGAGGCCGTCTGCTCTTGGATGAGCGGATCCTTCATCCATTCGTGATAGCGAGGCACATGCTGCTTGCGGTAAGGCACCAGAACCGTCATGCGGCCGACCAGCACCGTGTCGCGGTTGATCCTCATGTCTTCTCGATAGCGGTCACCACGGTGCAAGATACACCAAACAGGATGCTCGAGGCCACAATCGCATAGGTTCAGGGTCCAAGAGAGGGAGCCAGGGTAGATCTTCCATCCGTGCGAGAGGTCCGTGCCATCGTTCCTTTTTTAATGCTCCGCGACGTGACGCAAGTCGGCGTCATTCCAACATGAGTGGAGGATCGGCTGCCTCAAAAAGAGCGCAGAGCGTGTCTGTGCGTTGCTGTTTTGACAAGCTCGCGATGGACAGCTTGGCAGGCCTCGTTGCTCGGCTGCTCCGTCAGGGTCCCATGGAATCCGATGCTTCAGGGCAGACAACGGCACCTACGTCAGTCTTCGGAGAGTGGTTGCTTTTCGGGTGGTGCCCTTTGTGCGTACCGAGCGTGATTGATGGATGGCAGCAAGGATGAGTCCGCTTGCATGCTCGACCCTTCTCACGCTCGGAAAGCTCGACTTCGCTTCCTCAACGTCCCTGCCTGGTCGCTCAACTGAGAGCAGACTCAGAAATAGCAGCAACTCCACGCTCACCCTTCACAATCTTCATCCTCGCTTCCTGTTACTCTTCCTTCCACCACCACAACCCATCGTTCGATCCTATCCCCTCCCCTGATTTCTCACGATGGCTTTCCGACAGCGAGTGCTTCCGCTCCTCGGTGCTTCGGCCGTAGGTGTCGGTATTGGCTACTACGTCTTTGACCCTTTGCTGCAGCAGTACTCCAAGGACACCAGGGGCACCTTCGTCTCTGGCCCTCCGGGCAGCAACACGCTTCCTGACCTCAAGCCTCACGCTAACGCGACCACCGACCTGCACGAACGTCCTCCCATCGGCTCGTCTGCTGCTCGAGGCATCTCGGGTGTCATCTCTCGCCCCGGTACCGATCTCAAGCACAACGATCCCAGCCAGATTCCTGGCAGCGTGCCCTACGGAACCGTCTCCAAGGAGATCGAGGCTCTGCGCCGCAACGTGCACGACAAGGTCGACCACGCCGAGCAGAAGCTCGAGGATGCCAAGAACAACGTCGAGAACAAGTACCGCGATGCGAAGAGCGAGGTCAAGAGCACCTGGCGATCCGCCAAGGGCACCGCCGAGGACGCCGCCGACACCGCCTCCCGCAAAGCCGAGAACGTGAAGCAGGATGTCAAGTCCGGTTGGTTCTCTGCTAAGGACACTGCCGAGCAGAAGGCGGAGGAGGCCAAGAACGAGGCCAAGAAGGGCTGGTTCACCGCCAAAGATAAGGCTGAGGAGGCCGGCGAGAACGTCAAAGCGGGTCTGCTCTCGGCGAAGAACACGGCCGAGCAGAAGGCGCGCGAGGCGGAGGAGGAGGCGAAGCGCGGCTGGTTCGCTACCAAAGACAAGGCTCACGAGGTCAAGGAGGAGGCCAAGTCCAGCTGGTTCTCGACCAAGTCGGCGGCTGAGCAGAAGGCCGAAAAGGCCGCCGAGGAAGCCAAGCATCAATGGTTCACCGCCAAGGACAAGGCTGCTGAGACCAAGGAGGACGCCAAATCCAGCCTCCGTTCTGCCAAAAACACCGCTGAGCAGAAGGCCGACGAGGCCGCTGAAAGCGCCAAGCAGAGCTGGTTCGCTGCTAAGGACAAGGCCCACGAGGTCAAGGAGGACGTCAAGTCCGGTTTCTTCTCCGCCAAGTCGACGGCTGAACAGAAGGCTGACGAGGCCGCTGACAAGGCCAAGTCTGGATGGTTCACCGCGAAGGACAAGGCTGCTGAAGCCAAGGAGGAGGCCAAGTCGGGCTTCTTCTCCACCAAATCGGCGGCCGAGCAGAAAGCGGATGAAGCTGCTGAGAAGGCCAAGTCTGGCTGGTTTACTGCGAAGGACAAGGCTGCCGAGGCGAAGGAAGAGGCCAAGTCTGGTTTCTTCTCCACCAAGTCCGCCGCCGAGCGGAAAGCGGATGAGGCCGCTGACAGCGCCAAGTCGGGCTGGTTCTCGACCAAGTCGACCGCTGAGCAAAAGGCCGACGAAGCGGCTGACAAGGCCAAGTCGGGTTGGTTCTCCGCCAAGGACAAGGCTCACGAAGCCAAGGAGGACGTCAAATCTGGCTGGTTCTCCACCAAGTCTGCTGCCGAGGACAAGTACGACCATGCCAAGGACGAGACCCAAAAAGGCTGGTTCAACCTCAAGAGCAAGGCCGAGGACGTCGCCGACGATGCCAAGAGTCACACCAAGAGCTACCAGGACCAGCTCGAGCACAATGCGCAGCAGAAGATCCTCGCGGCGCAGTACAACGCCGAGGTGCGCGCCGGCGAGGCGCGCGGCCACATCGACGGCGGTCGCGTCGAGAACGAGTACAAGGGTCTCAAGCAGACGGGCAAGGAGTGGAAGTCCGAACTCGACTCCAAGGCCAAGGACGCCCGCAACCGCGCCGAGAACGAGTACCAGCACCTGCGCGACCAGTCGCAGCAGGGGTACAAGAACCTCAAGAGCGAGGCTGATTCGAGCTTCTACAACCTCCGCGACAAGGCCGACAGCGGATACGAGTCGCTCAAGTCCAAGACCGCCGAGGGGCTCGACTATGCAGGTGACAAGCTGCACAGCGGCGCGAGGAAGGTCGAGGGCACCCAGAAGCCTGAGTCGACCGGCCTGTGGAACTGGATCTTTGGCAACGGTAGGGCGACCGAGAAGGTCGCTTCCAACCTGGAGTGATTGTATTAATGCCTCTAAGCGCATCGAAATGGAATGCGACTCGAATGTATATGTCCGTACCCAGCAATGGTATTCACGATTGGAATCTTCGCTTGATCGCCGGCGCGAGACTGTGAACGCGAGGAGGGGCCGAAGCAATCGTGCTCCAGAGGAAATTCGTGCATGTGTTACATCCTGTCTGCATGCTGGTCGCTCACGTGGGCCGCGGGATGACATCACGGCGGGGGACCCTGCGCCTGCCGAAGATCTTGACAGATTCGTCTTCTGATGACCCGGATGGTCAGTGAGCTTACAGTCTTTCGGCACGACCACGACTTTCGGCACGGCAACAAACGCTTCGATAGTAGGCATAACTCACGCGACCTATCGAGACGCAAACAACTTGCTCTTGCCGCTTTCAGGCTTCATTTCAAACCATGCTTTGACGTTCATCTTCTCAGCAACACCTTAGCGCGCTTCGCGGGCAGCATCGTCAACATGGGACTGCCACCCTACACAGGGCCGTTCAAGGTCGGCGTGCTGGATCTCGAGATTCCAGTGCGAAAGCCGCGCAGCTTCTGCAGCAACGTCGTTGAGCCTGGCGTTCTCAACAAGCCGGCTGCAAAGGCTCGCCGATGGGCCAAGAAGCAGAACAAGGAGGCGAAGGAGAGCCGCAAGGAGAAGGAGCGAGAGGCGGACTCAGCCGCAAGCCCTGCCCAGAGCCCTTCAAGCGCGGAGGCTGGACCCAGCACGAGTACCGTCAACGCCTCCAACGCCGATGCCAGCACGTCAGATCAACCGCACTCTACCGCCGAGGGCAATGAGCAGCCGTGCGGCAGTTGCGGCTGCCCAAACGACGACGAGAACGACTCAGAAGAGGCCGACACACCGTGGTCTCCTTGGTCCACCGGCTCCAAAACATGCACTCTGCACCTCGAAACCGTCCTATTCACCATCTACTACCCGACCCTACCCATGCCGGACTCAGACTTCAAACGCTACCCACGAGCGGCGTGGCTTGGTCGACCCGTCCACGCGGGTGTCCGCGCTCTGTTCCAATACATCGGTCAATACGGTCCCTTCGCACTACCTCTCAGTCCCATAGTAACGACGCTCATCTCGGCGCGTCTACCCGCACGTGTCGGTCCACCTCTCGCCGATCCAGAAGAGCTTCGTCGTCGTGCCGATCCCTCTCACGCCAACACGGACCGGGCTGCCACGGGCAACTTTGGCGCGCGACCCCCACAATTTCCGGTGGTGATCTTCTCCCACGGTCTCGCAGGCAACCGTCTCAGCTATTCTCAGTACTGCGGTGAGCTCGCGTCCCAGGGCATCATCGTCGCGGCGATTGAGCATCGCGATGGTTCGGGAGTCAGCAGCATCGTTCGTGGCGAAGAAGCGCCTGGTCACGCCAACAGGCGGGGGTTCCACATTCACAAGCCATCGGGTAGGATGAAGGCAAGCGTGCCATATTTTACATTCGAGAGTATCGGACTGCAGTCGTTTGCACCGGAACCGAGCGAGAGGGAGGTCAATCTGCGAAGGGATCAGATCGAGATGCGACACGCTGAGATCGAGGAGACGTTCTGGGTGCTAAGCGAGATCAACGCGGGTCGCGGGTATGAGATCGTTCGTCGATCAACGAGGAGTTTGGGGACCAAGTTGGCGGGTCATTCTGCGGCAGCGGGTAACACCAGGTTACCCGTCTCGAGCGTTCTACGCTCTGAGCGACCGTTGGAAGATTGGAAAGGAAAGCTGGATATGGACTTCCCTACGTTGTGCGGGCACTCGTTCGGTGGAGCGACGGTGATCGAGCTGATGCGACGGGAGAATCCGTTTCCGATAGCGCTGGTGCTAGACCCCTGGGTCGAGCCAGTACGCGATCCATCCGAGCAGGAACATAAAGTCCATGGAACCCTCGCCAAGCCCCTCTACGTCCTGAACTCCGAATCGTTTACCGTATGGGAGGAGCATTTCGACAAGCTGAAACGGATCTGCTTGGATGCGAGGAAGACGAGTGGAAGAGGATGGTTGTTGACCTTGACGGGGAGTAAGCACACGGACTTTAGCGACTATCCGTTTCTCCTGCCCAAGATCTTCCGGTCGACGGTGGGGCCGAAGCATACGATCGAGGTGTTTAGCAAGGCGACTTATATGCAGATGGGGCTGAGTCGGCAGCGGTGGAGGGAGCAGGAGGACGCGCCAGGACTCAAGGTGGACAGACAGGGGTCCGTGAGGGACGGTGCGCCCAACTTGGACGAAGAAGTTGGCAACCAGGCCGATAGCGATGCTACTGCCACCGAGACCACGAAGATAGTCACATCCCCAACAAGCTTGGACGACAACACGATATCGATCACGCCGCTACCATCGGAGGATCAAAGTAACACCGCGAGGCGTGGGAAGATCATGCCATCCCAAACCGTGGTACAGTCGCCAATATGCGAAGTCGAACAGGGCGGCAATCAGATCCACCGCGTCAACGCCCACGTCGACGCCCACGAGGGATCAGCCACGTCGGCGACCACATCTCAGACCCAGCCGAGGTCACCGGAAGCGGCTTCATCAGCGGCCAATTGTGCATCTTTGCGGGAAGAAAGCCAGACCGACACAGCAGCGATGGGCGCCGAAGCGCGGGAAATGGCCGGTGCAGTGCAACGAGCGACGAGCATCGCCACGACCCCTGGTCTCGCAACGGCCCGCCAAAAAGGGTTCATCACCGACCTCAAGTACCTGCAAATGATCGATGCGGATGCAGACGTGCAACAGGTGCACGAACGGCTCGAACAAGTGGCCGACCGCTTCAAGGACAAGAGTAAGTATTCTTTCTCGAAGCGAGATTGGGGTGGCTGATATTGGTGTCAGTGAAGGGCGGGCATGCATGAGAGAGCGAGAGAGATCGGCCAACCAGGCGAGCGGAAGGCGCGCGGCGATCTGGAACGAATCTCGTATCGGGAGGGCGAGGGATTCATGCATCGGCGACGCACCAAATTGTGGCTTCCACGCCAAGGAGACGCATTTGGGAGAGCCACCACGGTCATGCAGGTCTCTCGCTTCCATTAGACGAGGTTTAGAGCGTGGGAAGGAAGACGCAGGGCGGAGCGGAGCGGAGTGAAGGTGCTGCTGCAACTAGCCGCCTCTCAGGGAAGCTACCCGAGACCAGGGAGCTCCCTGCTTATTGTTCGGAAGGAAAAGCGGTCCAGGCCACGCAGAGAGCGCTTGTGAAGCTGCTCTCTGTCCGGGAATTTTCTCGAGAGAGGGCGCTAAGCCAGCAGCTCGGCTATGCGGATTTTAGCCCGTCCAATTTCGCGCCCCGCTTGGCAGAGCACATCCGCTGCAAAAAGGGTCCGCCTCCTCGAAAACCGCTTGCGTCGCCCGTACTGACTCGCCGTTCTCTCGATCTGCCCCTTCGATCGCTCACAGAGACACGACCTCGCTCTTTAATGGTACGTTCTCTCCCGCTTCCTTTGCTTCCATTCCGCTTCCCGAGAGAACAACAGACTGACTCGTTCTTGCTTTTCTGCCGCTGCGACAGTCGGTTTTCATGTACATGAACGGCTTCAAACCGGGCCTCGATCGGCCAGGCAAGGTGTTGATTCATCAGCTCAACTCGTCGCATCCTCCCAAGTAGCCTCTCGCTTGCACATATCATGCCTTATCTTGGACAATACCATGCTTACCGGCTGTTATCAATCCGCATTGTGCCACGCCCTCAATGACCGAGTCACCGGCACGAGAGGCTTTAGACAATGAGCGAGATGGTTTCACCATGAACAAAAGGCGGGAAAGCCGTAGCAATTCCCACTTCCGAAACACAATGAATCGAACAATGTGGCTGGCCATCGAGCGGTGAATTCAGGCCATTCTGCACGACCCTAGCTAGTGTCGATTGCACCAAGAAGACCGATATCGAACCATTTCCAGCGCTAAGCGACGGGCGCAGGCGGACTTGCAACGTTAGCCTGGTGCGCTCTATCGATCTCGCACTAGCACGCCTCGTGCAGGTGGTACTGATAATATTGAAATGTTCGCACGAACCTGACTCTCGCTTACTGGCGCTCTTGGGCCCGGTGTTTTTCACGCTCGCATCCACAGCCGAGTAAGAAGTAAGGTTGTGTTCCAAAGACTGTGCATTGGGTGGGTATCGATTACAGGATCAGCCCGGTAGTGTGAGTGAAGACAGAATACAGTGAAATGCAAGGATGGAAAATGAAATGCTTAGCACGGCAGAGGGGGCAGAGGCTTGTGGGTGAAAGGGACAGGGCTTGTGCGCCCGGACGAGATGGAGGATCGTGCGGATGATTTCGATGGACGAGGAGGGGCGAGAGATGCGCCACCAAAGAGGAGGTTGAGACCGGCAGGCATGCTGGGCAGCGGCGGCAGTGGGTCGCGAGGCGGAGCGCTCGAGGCGAGCGACGGCGTTGAACGTGCCCCCTTGGACAGCTGATACAGTCCGCCTCCCTGCTTAGACGAGGAGCGAGCGATGGTGGGTCGGCGGGAGAGCATCGGCTTAGCAGACGAGAGAGCAAAGTGACCGTTCTCGGCGGTCACAAAGCTGTCTGGGCTGGCCGGGGCTTCCTCGCCCGAGGAAGACTTGGAGGAGCCCGACAAGCGCCCATCGAACACGAGCGCCGGCACACCCGGGCTGTTGCGGGAAGCGCGGCTCGAGGTGCTCGATGCCACCGACCCGCGTGAGATCGGTCTTGCCAGCTCGGCGTCCAACTGCTTTAGCATCTCTGCCGACTCGTCGAGATCCGACGCCGAGAAGCGGATGGGGATGCCGCCGAGGCTGCGGTCCTCGTTGCTGGTCGACGACATCCACGACTCGCGCTGGAAGTGTGCATCGGAAGCCGAAGCAGCGCTCATCGACCCCGCCAGCTCAGCGAGGCTCATCGGCATGCTTTGCGATGCATTCACCGTCGGCTTGGACTCGGCGGTGCGAGGTCGCCTCGACGACTTGCCACGTGCGCGCGAGATGCTCGTGTTGGGCGTTGTGTTGGTCGAGAGAGTCACCATGGTGCGTGCGAGCTCCTCCTCCAGCTCGTCCATGGCGAGCTTGAGGCCGTCCTTGCCGCTCCAGGTGCTGAAGCGCATACTTGGCGCAGAGGGACGGCGAGACGAGGCGATGGACGGCGTCCTGGGCACTACGACACGCTCCAAGTGACCCTCTTCAGAGACAGGTACGTCGAGCGAGCGCCCAATGTACTGCACCTCGTCCGATACGAGACGTACTAGATGCGGCTTCCTCACCTTGGGCTGCATGGGCAGTGCGATGGTAGGAAGAGTCGGCGTCTTGGTCACATCGTGCTCCGGGTGCGAGAAGAGCGGCATGCTGGGCGTCAGCGGAGAGCGCACCGACGAGGTCGACGACGACGTCCAAGAGCGCGCCGAGTCGGTGGACGATCGCATGCCGTACGACTTGCTCTTGCGCGGCGAGGTGGAGCCAAAGATGGCGTTGTTGGTGATGTTGTTCTTCATCATGTGATCGAACGCTTCCTGTTCGTTCGAGGCGTGGCCGTGAGTGGTGGTGGAGCTGATGGAAACGTCAGAGTCGGCGACGGAGCACCAGCTGTCGCGCGAGTAGGTGGACGAGGTAGAGAAGCTCGACTGCCTAGGAGCATATGGTCGACTTCCTGAAGACATAGAGTAGGACGACATGGCGGTGTGCAGGTCGGAGAACAGAAGCGACGACGAGCTCGACATTTGTGCGGCTCTTTGTAGGTGAGGACAGCAGCGAGCTATGCTGTACTGGACGATGGTGTTGTAAAGACAAGGCGGCGAGGATGGCTAGAGATGTCAAGACAGGTGGGCCCACGACGGGCGTAGCTTCTTACGCCCTGAGGATTATATACAGAGATGGGGTCGCTCAGCCACAATCCAAGGAAGGCCGCAGCCTGAGACCGGTAGCCTGGGCCACAAACAAGGTAGCGAGATCGCAAGCGAGTGTCAGCAGCTTGAGTGCACCGTATTGAGACGAGCTGGAGCCATTGGAACAGAGGCCGCGGACTCTCAAAGGGAGGCTTTACCAGCAAGCGAGCGGCGGCGGGCGGTTAGGCAAGAGGTTCCACTGTTCAGCTCATGGGCCGAATAGTGGGGAGAATGGTCGACAGGACTGCTTTCGAGTGAAGGAATGCGTTTTTACCGTCGGAGCCTGCCAAGTCGGGATTTGAATTCTTAGCAGTGATGAACAAGCAGAGGTGTCGAGTAGTGAGACACGATGTCTCTGCTCACGACGCCAGCCCACTCACTGCAGCCAACTCGCAGCGTTTCGCCTGTATGCTTTGTTTCATTGGTACTGTAAGCGACACTGCTCAGCTTGATGCCACCGCTCTGCGATTAGAGCTCTGTATGGCACATCAAACAGCCTAAGAGGGTGGACGGCTGAGCGTGGGCGATGGACGCAAGCGTCTTTAGACAAGGCCGACGGGGTCGAAACAATGATTTAAGTCAAGCCGATTGACCGGCGTTGTGCCCGGTTGACCTCTTTGTTTGACATGAGCAGAGGCAGCCCCTGCGGCAGAAAGGGATGAAGAGTGCCGCCAATCACTTCGTAGAGCAGCTTGCTTGGCCACTTGAATGAGGGAGACTTGACACTTGAATGAGAAGGACGAGTGAAAGGAGACAGGGTCAATAGGATGCCCTGCATGCAGCTGCAATGACGAGCAGAATGAATAGCAATTAAGGCAACCGATGGCGGTTGACCGCTATTGTGTCATGTCGACATGAAGAGGTCTGCTCTTTGACAGAGGGAAATTCCGCGGGGACTTTGCAGGCAAAACGGCTGAGCAGACGAGAGGCTCTTGGACTGTGTGCATTGCACGGTAGTGACAATGAGCGCCTGAGACCAGAGTCTGGACCAACAATACGATTTGGATAGCACAGGGAGAGTTGGATGAAGGGGTTGGACGAGCAGGCTCTAAGCCATGTTTTACCTTAGAGGCCGCGCTTGGCTGGCGGATTGCCATCTTGCTACGATGACAGCACTCGAATCTCGATACAAGTTTGTTTGCATTATAATATTAGATAAATATTTTTGGATTTTCTTGCGCTGATGAAACTGTCATAGCGCGGCTCGGTACTGAGTTTAGACTCACACCCTGCGATGAAAAATTCAAAATGTCCGCTCACAGTTGGTCCTCAATGCGGAAATTTCATTTTGGCGGATGAGCTCTCTGTCAAAGCCTCGATCTTATTGTTCTCCAAGCGAGAAGGGTCTGGAGCGCCAGCACAGCGGAGTGTCAAACAACGCTCATCTCGGTCGACATCTCGCTCAACATTCGGTCCCTAGGCGAGTCCGATCTCGTCTGCCCGGCCGCATCCACATCCTCCCTTGACGGAGACTCTGCCTCTGACTTGGCCTATGAAGCCGATCCGTCGCTCAGTGCCAAGCCCGGCGACGCTCCACCACATGCACATCCAGCGTGTGCTTTGGCGTGTTTTTCCGGGCCCGCCCCCTGCATCTATCCGATATCCGAAGATTCGAGGTGGAAATGAGACGCTTGCGGCCGAAATGGACGGCAGTCTGGACCTTGCTCGCTTGTGCAAGCCACCCACGCCCGTGATCCCGTGCTCGGTGCCCATATCAGCTGATTGAACTAAGCTCTACGCTTCCGGTCGATCCACTCCACTGGCTCGACCCAAGCGAGGCAGCAGCGGCAGCCACTCGCTCTGGCCCATCGGACCAGCAATTTCGTACTGACCGCGTCCGGGATGTGCAAGCCACAGGATGTGCATGCGCGGCTACCGGCAATTGAGAGGCGCTTGCAGATTTGCCTGACCACTAGCTCGATTGCAAGTTCTAGATCCGCCATAGCGCGTAATGTCGAGATCTTCATCTGCTCTACGCTTGTTTGTGGGTCTTGCATCTCTGCACTGCGAGTCAAGATCGGTCGGATCTCAGAGCCATCCGTGCATGCCCCGATCGAGCGGATATCTCCGACCGAAAGAACTCAACCCAATGCGTACGACGACATCGCCATGACGCTCCTTGCCGGTGGACAGTGTCTGAGGGGGCCAGACCGGCCAGTCGAAGCATCCATCCAATTCCTTCGGGTCAACATCGTTGAGGCAGGAGACTCGGTTATGAGGCGAGGGTGGGCATAGCGAGCGTACAGACACAGAGGGTCATCACGAGGTCGCTTCGACGCACTGTCGATTCAGGTACGCGCTTAACTCATCGCCAAGCTTAATTCCGGCTTGTTCCTGGAAATCATAGAGGATTCGGATCGACAGAAGTGCCTTCTCTCATTTTCACTCTGCGTCGAGAGCAAAACGTCTGTGAATCCCAAACACGTCGTTGAGTCTGCCATCCGTCTCTCTGCTCCGACCTCATCCTCCCGCAGCAAGCACATTCTGAGACAGGTACGCTCTGCAAATCACATTGCTGGATGTCGTCCGGGCGCAAAGCGTACCGGCACGACAATCCCGAATGCTCGCCCGCGCTGACACCGACTGTATTCCGACGGAGGCATGCTGACTTCTGTCTCGAATCGAGCGGTGGTACCATGCTGCCAAACACTTGGCGAGACACTCTTGCAGGCCTCGGCATCGACCGCGTTTCGCTCTGGCAGTGCGCGTGTCGGAGTGTGGGGAAAAACGATGCAGGTCGACAAAGGTGTATCACATTTACCGCCGAATTTGAGTCGACTCGTCTTCGAAACGATGACTGTGCACTGCGGGCCTTCAAAAGGTGGTCTCTGAAGACTTGTAACAGTCATCTCGGAATCTTCGTGCCGCGCACCGTCATGCCAAGCAGAGAAGCGGAGCGTCGAGAACGCACCTCTCCGTCACTCCGCCATCTCATCTCAGTCAGTCGAACTCGGGAAGCGCACGGGATGGCCTGTCTCGGAAGGTTTGCTTCGTCATGCCTCTGGGCTAAACATATACATGCTGCAGGTACCGTTTGGATGTTTCGAAGGTGCTCAGGCGTGAATTCCGACGGATGCGCCTGACAGCCCATCGGGGCAACTTGGGATGGATCGGTCAGTCATCGTCCTGATCAGCATTCCGGCCAACGGCGACGACGACTTTCCGCATGCCTTGTCATTTACTCGATGTGCACGATGATGCTTTTTAATGAACGGTAGGTTGGCCGACTACAAGTTTCTCATCCCTGCTGCAGAGCAAGTCGGTCAATACTCGGTTGACCGTGGCTGTTAGAACTCTGACGGATGCGTTGCCATTTTGCTCAATGCGCACTTGACCGGTACAGGAGGGGTACAATGTCTTGACAGAGTGACAGGCAAGCATCGTATCGTCACCACGCGCTATTGGGGGCAAGCTCGGTCAGATCAACCCCGATTGACCGATCCATCCGCCTTTTGTACAAGATGTGAGAGCGGCGCAATCGACACAGATAAGGGAAATTGGGTGTGGAGTTTTCATCGTGCAGCGAGCTCGATGTCCGTGCTCTCTCTCGCCGTGTCACCAGACCGCCGGACGACGTTCAAATTTGACCCTGACCTTGCGTATCTCCAGCAGGTATGATCCGTACAACCAAAAGGCGATCTTCCGATTGTGAGTACTCCCACACAAATGACTTGCCTTCAATCAGAACGATTATCGCAAGCAAGGCGCTGGAAGGTGTAAGCTGACATGCATCTCACCTGACTGCACCGGCTATCCAGCCCGGAGATTTGAAGTATAGCCGGTTCAGAAACTCTGCACCAACTTCGCAACCGTGCGATGTCATCCCTTGTACGCAACACCACTCGGTCTTTCGTTTCTACCATCAACACAAACATCGGGAGAGTCTCTTTGCGCGCCTATACACGAGTTCCATTCGCTTCAACAAGCTTGCGATCTGCTTCCTTGGCTCTCCCTCAACATCAACGCGTAGCTTGCCCCCGCGTCCAAACCCGTACCATGTCGACCGAGATCCCGTCCGAGATGAAGGCCATCCTGGTCAAGGACAGCAAGGGACCTTCCTCTTCGCTCTACCTCGGCAGCTCGCCCGTCCCCACGCTCGAGGACGACGAGGTGCTCGTCAAAATCAAAGCCTTCGGACTCAACCGGATGGACATCATGCAGCGCGAGGGTCAGTATCCACTCCCACCGCACGCGCCCACCATCATGGGTGTCGAGTTCTCCGGTCACATTGTTTCGACCAAGAACCTCAAGGATGTGCAATGGAAGGTGGGGCAGGAAGTCTTCGGTCTTGCCGTCGGTGGAGCCTACGCCGAGTACATCAAGGTTCCGGCTCGAATGATTTTGGAGAAGCCATCCGAGCTGGATTGGATCCAAGCGGCGGCGATCCCAGAAAACTACCTCACCGCCTTCCAGGCTCTCCGGACCATTAGCGGGTTGCAGCCAGGGGAGAACGTTCTGATTCACGCCGGAGCCAGTGGTGTGGGTCTAGCCGCCATTCAGCTCGCCCGTGCCTTTGGCGCCGGTAAGATCTACATCACCGCCGGATCCGAAGAGAAGATCCAGTTCTGCCAGGAGATCGGCGCAGACAAGGGGTTCAATTACAAGACGTCCGATTGGGCCGAGGAACTCGCCAAGCATACCGGTGCCAAAGGCCCAGCTGGTTCGGTGGATGTCATCGTCGACTTCATCGGCGCCCCGTACTTTAATGGCAATCTGCAGAGTCTCAAGAGGGATGGAAGGATGGTCATGCTCGCCTTCATGGGCGGCGCAAAGATCAAGGAGACCGTCATCGCTCAACTGCTTTTCAAGCGCTTGAGGATCGAAGGGTCCACGTTGAGGAGTCGCACCGTTGAGTACCAGAGCGATCTGGTTCAGGGCTTCGTTCGCGAAAAGGGTCTCGAAAGGCTCATCCACGGCGCGAGAGACGGCGAGGGCAAGGAGGGAAGTAAGCTCGTCATCCACAAGGTCTACTCGTGGAAGGATATCAAGGAGGCTCACGACGAGATGGAGGCGAACAAGAATGTCGGCAAGATCATCATCACTGTGGATGGCGCTTGACCGGCGCGACCCCAAAAGAAAGATTTCCGTCACGCAGGTCTCTAAAGTAGCAGCAATCGTCGAAATGCTATCTCGACTGGAATCGTATGATGTCTTGTACATGGCTTGCGTGTGACAGTCTACTGAGCCGGAATGACCTTTTCCAAGAACGCCGCTAGATCACGGATCTCCTCCGGGCATGCCGAGTGGGGCATCCTCGGGTACGTCTTGAACTCGACGTCGCTCAGTCCCAACTCGTTCTTCAGGAACTCCACCGTTCGCTGTCCGTACTCGTACCTCACCACTGGATCCGCATCACCATGCGCCTGGAAGACCTTGAGGTTCTTCGAAGTGGGTGTGCGGAGGGTGGCGATCTTTGCGCGCAGTGGCAACCAAGTCGACAGTGCCGCGACGCCGGCAACAGCGTTCGTGTTGGTGAGACCAGCGAGCAGCGAAATGGCGCCACCCTGGCTGAAGCCACCGACCACAATTCGTTCGCTCGGGATCGCCTGCCCATCGAGACCTTTGGCCGTGCCGTCGTTCTCGGCGCTGATGAGCTTCTTGATCTCCTCCGTCGACTTGAGCAGCCCCGCCTCGTCTTCCGAGCCGGAAATGTCATCGAGGGCAAGGACTTCAGCAAGAAAGAGCAATTGCGTAAGAGACGTCAGTAGCAGTCAATGGATGCGATGGTAGGCGGGAAGAGGAGCGCGCAGGCGCACGCACACGAGTACGAAGACCTACTATCGAACCACGAAGGCATGGGCATGCCCATATTGAGCGAGACGGGCTGGATGGGTGCGTTGGGCAGCACGAAGCGCACGTGCGACAGCGACGGACGCTGAGACAGCATCTGAGCTACATCTGACCAGCCGGCACTCGAGTCGCCGAGACCGTGCAGGAAGAAGAGGGTGGCGGTGGGCTTGACGCCCGAGCGCGGGTTGATGATGAGCGTCTTGAGCACCGACATTTCGGAGTGAAGTCGATACAATGCTGAGCTGATAGCAAGTATGAGACAGCCTGCGGTGGCGATGAGATAGAGTGGAGACAGGATCGTGACGAGGATGCGAAGGAGATGAACAGGCGATGAACGTTGGTTACGAAGGAAGAAAGGAGGCATTGAAAGACGGAAGAAATTCGTGGTCGAGAAAAAGCTTAAGTGGGTCAGGGTCTGTGCGCTCCTTCTCAACCGCTCCGACGTTGAAGACATGTCAGCTGGTCTCCTCAACGCAGTCCATTCACAGACCACATCGACCTCATCTCAGATGATAGACACGCACGATGTCGTAGAATATGGTAAACATGAAAGCGATCGCGCTGCGCTCTATGTTGCAAGATTGATGCTTGTAGGTGCTGTTCAAAGGTTAAGGATGAGGTCCCAGAAGGTCTCGGTGTGCAACAGGTCGTCGTGTGCGCCCTGTTGAGGTGTCGGGATTCGAGTCAGCGCTGTTCGTCATCGCAAAGTACTTCCATTCGCCCGCGAGTTTACTTACCCTCAAGCTTGTCAAATCAGCATGCAGCCGTGTACTGTTCCGAATCTTGACGCTCCCATAGACCGAGGCGATCGACTTCTTCTCCCCATTCACTGTGGTGGTGCTTGCGAGGCCATCTTGCGGGATCGTCACCTGCGTTCCTTTCTCCGCACTCGCATCAGTGAGCTGCTTATCGAGGTGCAGAATCACATCGATGCTCTGGCGGAAAGAGAGCAGCTCGTCATCTCGCGAGTGCCACACGTGCAGATCTTTCCCCTCAAGTGCCAATGGCCATGTTTCGCATGAGACGACGTCGTATTTGCTCGGGCCTGGTTGAGGGAGAAACGCTTGTGCGACGAAGCTCTCGTAGTCCGGGTACTCTTGAAGCAGTTTTGAGACCGAGAAGATACCATCCTGTAGACCAGAAGCCACAATCAGCTTACGGTCCCAATCGCGTCAAAGGGAGGGAGGCTACTTACAACCAGTACACAAGTCTTGATGCAACCGCGCGCGCCACTGTCCGGCTGCGGCATCGGTCTCGGGTATTCCGCATTGCCTTGCCTTGACTCTCCATCGACGATAGCTGCGAGCGTCAACCATGCCCCGATCGAGTGTCCAACAACGATCCAGTCCTTCTGCGGCACATCCTTGCGAGCGTGCAAGAAGCTCAGCGCCGCATTCACGTCCTGCGCGTGGACGGGATGAAGGTTCTTCACCTCTCCCGTGTTTTCTTCCTTGATAGACAGCCGGTAGTCGACCACAGCGACGGCCTTGCCCTTGGAGCAGAAGTAGTTGGCGAGGTCGACGTGATCCTTGCGCGAACCAGTGCGCCAGGCACCGCCGTGGATGAAGACGATCAGGCTCGAGGCGGAATGGGAGGCGGGCAGGTAGAGGTCCAGCTGCTGTTCGGGGTCGGAGCTGCCGGAGACGTAGTCTAGCGTCTGCGGAGGTGAGGGCGTCGTCGACATGCTTGCGGAAGGAAGATGTGGTGGTGAATGCGAAGGAAGGGAGGAGGTGCGAACGCAACCGAGTTCAGGGTCCTCAAGAAGACTCGGTCGGCTATTCGCGCGTATTCGGCCCGCGAAAGCCACTACATCGGGAGCTCGAACACAACCTTTTTCATCGTCAGAAGCAATCCGCACTCGACGTCCCGGAGTTCACGATGTCAAGGCGTGCGGTGAGAGAAGTATGCTACATGATCTGTGTTGCTCAGCGATAGGCAGCAGACTTGAACGCCAACAGACCCTGGAGGTAGCCGTGCTCGAACTCCCAGACGAACTTGCTGCCCTGTCCCTTGGCCTGTGCATGCGCAGCCGTCCTGGTCTTCTGCCACTGCCCCACGAATCCAATCTCGTTCGACTCATCCGCCTTCATAAACTCGAGCGAGTCGGCCCAAGCGAGATAGAACCCCTCAGCGAAGCGCCAGTGCTCGTACGGTCCGCCCTTTTGCTGATCCCAGTAGCCCGCGTGACTCGACAGCGCGCCCTCCTGCGCACCCTGTCGTGCGCCCTCGATCTCCTGAACCGACTTTCTCTGTCCACGATGCGGATCGAGGTGCTGCGGAAGCACACCGCGCTCGACGGCCGAGTAGAAGCCCCAGCCCGTATCGGGCGCACCCTCCTTCTTGAGCGTCCAGAAAAAGTAGCCAGCGCAAAACTTGTCGTAGCTCTTCCACTGGTTGTGGGCGTACTCTGCCTTGGCGGGTCGCTGCTGGTCCTCGCCGCCGAGGTGGTGGAGGGAGGAAGGATTGAGGGCGGCGCTCCACTCACCGATGATGAGCGAGCCACCGCAGCGATGTGACATGCTTTTCAGCCAGCCAGCCGTCTCGCCGCAGCCATCGGTGTTGGTAGGGTTTGGCGAGGTGCCGGGATGCAGCTTGCGCGCGTGGTCTTCGCAGCGCGTCGAGTGGTCCTGGGGTGTGAAGCAGCGGTAGAGGTGATAGTCGGTGACGAGGAAGTTGTTGGCGGCAGCACGTTGTCCGACATAGCCTGTGTAGTGGTTGGTGTCCCATGCGTCGCCGAGGTAAAGTGGGAGGGAAGCAGCCTCGGGCGAGACGGATCGGATCTGGGCGATGGCATCGTCGTAGAAGCCTTGCAGCTTGCCCGAGTTCTTGGGCTCATTGATAAGTTCGAGACCGACGACGTTCTCGAAGCGAGAATACTCGTATGCCATGGCTTTGAGGATCTCGACGGTCTTCCTCTGATCGTTGCTGGAGTTCCAGAGTGATGCCTTGCCACCGCTTACACCGCAGTGACCGTCGGCGTTCTGACCACCGGGTGCACCGTGAAGGTCAACGAGCACACCGACATTGCGACCAGCTGCAGACTCAATAGCGCGCTGAATGCGGCTGTAGGCACCTTGGTAGATGAAGCCGAACTTCTCGTAATCTGTGCCCTGGAGCAAGGAACGAATCTGCTCGTTGGGATGGCCGGCGAGGAAGTGGAAGTAGCCGACGGGAATGCGAACAGTGTTGATGCCGTGGTCGACCATCCACTGGAGGTCACCATCGTTGATGAAGTTATCCCAGTGGTTCTCGAGCATACTCTTGGCCTCGTTGGGGTCCATGCCGGCGACAACATCGAGCTCGCTACCCTTGGGCTCTTTCGCCTTTTGGAAGAGCGAAGGCGTGAGCCAGCCCTCGAGAGAAAACCACGAGCCGAGATTGACACCACGCTGCTTTCGATGCAGATAGATATCTCGTCTAGTGGGTGGAGCATCGACCGAGGTAGGCGGCGGTGCCTGCGAGTTAGCTGGTGCTGAAGAACCAGCTTGATCGAATCGGCCAGCCGCAGCCGCATCGAACTTGTCCTGCACCTTTCCGAGGAACTTCTTCATCTTGACAAATCACGAATGCCTGTGTGCTGGAGTCACAGCTATACCAAGGTGATGTTCATCACGGAGCAAGAAGCATGTATGGGGCCTGAGCGATAAGCATGTTGTCTCAGACGAGGAAGAGGAGGCTCGAGCGGTGATGCCTCCACTTTGTGAAGCTGTGCGCAGCCGGATGGCTCACACAGCCATACAACGCCAAAAATGACGCAAAGACGCGCGCGAGCGGCATGGAAGACCCGGATCTGGCTGTGAGGAGATCGTTCCATCGGAGAACCCGATCGACACCCCTTGAGTCAGGCTCGTCGGCAAGAGCAGATGATGGCACGAAGGCCGGATTGCCATCCAAGCCAAGAGCTTTCGGAGGTGCGGATGTCTCCCGGCTGCCAAGCACACGATGCGGGGAAGCCGAGTTGCAATGACAGAGCTGGCTGGCAGCCAGCCCTCGTCACATGTCCTCCCTTTCGCGGCTGCAGAAACGGTTCGGACGCCGGTCAAGAGAGTCTGAGTCGACAACGAAGATCGGAAGCAACTCATCGTAAAGTGGCTGGTGCGCCTTTTCATGGCAGGTCATACTCGAGTCGATGCTGACCGTCACAACCGAAACACGCTTGAGCAGAAGGCACGAACGAGGCAATCAACTCAGAGTCTTGGCATTTTCTCACGGTGCCACTTCGGTTTTCCCGCTGTCCGGCTTGCCTGCCTCGTGTCTCCGTCAAGCCATGCTGATGGATGTCTGAGCGTCTGACTCTCTGCGAACTGCGGAGATGCCTTTGTACATGGTGCATCTTGCATGAGTGCGGGGAAGCAGCAGTTGATGGAGAAAGCGTGTCTCACCCTCCTCGTGCCAAGATGAGAGGAGTGGGGGAGAACAAGCTTTCGATATCAAACTCAGCGCGGCGCCGAAAATCGACCGACCACAGCTTGCCTTTGTCTGCGGCAGCCTGCCTTCCCTCCCGTTTACGAACAGGCTCGATCGTCGTATCGCAATATCGAGAACGTATTGACCTCATTCACGGGCACGTTGCGTCAGGAAGAATCAGGAAAGATAACGACAATAGGTTGATCGGAAACGAATGAGTAGGCTCTCTGAGGCTGAATTCGCTCAGGCACGACACACGTTCTAATCTTGAACCGAGGCTATGAAGGGGAGCAGGGCTCAGGGTAGAGGGCAGCGGCTGAACTGGCGCACTCAAGATTGCCGAAATGTCGGTCCTGACGACGAAAATATCACGCCGCTGCTCAGCTTGGGCCTCGCAATCTCGGCAGAAAGTCGCCTCTCTCATTGGCCCACTGCATACTCTCGGCAGCAGCAGTCAATCAACTTTCTCACAATCTGATGGGCTCGCCAATCACAGCAGCTCCTCCTCCTCTTCTTGGCCAGAGGAAGATCCGATGGACTTGCTTCCCTTCTTGCCACCACACTCACGCCTGCCACCACGACCATGACAAACACCTCCGCGTAGACCCACGCCACTCGACGCAAGCACCCACAGCTTTGCTCGACTTAATCTCTACGATCACTCTCGTCAGACATTCATCCGCAGCAAGACCGGATCCTCTTTGCGTGTCACATCGCTGAAGCGGCAAGACTGAACCTCTCGTTGTTCTCGCCCCTGTCTTGATCCATCGGACTGCATTTTGGTGCACACGACCAAGCTTTAGGAGCAAGACCCGCCCTTCATTTCGGCACATTGGCCCACCCAACTTGCATATACCCCACTCCGCGTCTGACGAGCGCAAAGCATTGTCCCAAAATGCATCCTCCGCCGAGCCATATGGCTCACAACTCGACCACGCTGTACCAGACCATCACCAACACGCTCGGTCGCACCAATACACGCTCCAACTCTTCCTCTTCTTCCACATCCAACATGAGCCAATCCTCCCAACGCTCTCCGCCCACGAGCTCCCATAAGCGCACCGCTTCGCAGAACAAGAGCGCCTCCACCTCCTTTGCCACCTCCGCTCTGCCCCGTAATCTCATCTTTGACTACGTTCACCCGGAAGAGGTGCGGGCCGCTCACGCGCTCGAAGTAGAGGGTTACCCTCCTGAAGATGCGGCCAGCTACGAGAGGCTGCTGAGTCGTCAGACGGCCGCTCCTCATCTGTTCTTGGGTGCCTTTGTGCCCCTGCCGTTGCCCAAGGTCGCCGGTCCTCTGTCCGTGTCCAACGAGCCGAGGAGGAGGATCGTCGGCTTCATCACGGGCACCGCTGCGCCCGCACTCACGCTCCGCTCCATGTCGACGCACGACACCTCGGAAGACGCACGCATCGTCTGTATCCACTCGGTGTGTGTCGCGCCCGAGATGCAGAAGAAGGGGCTGGCCACAAGAATGCTCGAGAACTACATCTCACGCGTCCGCAAGGCGGAAGAGGGCAAGGGTCCGGAGGGTGACAAGGGCAAGCGCGGATACGAGACGCTGGCGCTGCTAGCACATGAAGAGCTCACGGGTCTGTACAGGAAGGTCGGCTTCCGCATCCAGTGCGTCAGTCACGTCCAGTACGGCAGCGGTCAGTGGCTCGAGATGAGGCGCAGCGTCTACCCCTCTCCTAGCAGCGGCACTGGCAGTCGCATTGGATCGCAACTCACACGCACCGCTTCAGCAACCTCGACGGCGAGCGACGAAGCCCAAGCACCAGCCGGGCTCAAGATGAGCCCCACGGGCCCTCTTGCCATCGACACGAACCAAGCGTTCAAATCGGAATCGCTCTCTTCTCCCATCGTCTCCTCCCCCATCACCGAAGACAAGAAGCTCGTCGCCTCGCCGCCTGCCAACTCCGCCGTCCCATCCAAGACAGCGCCGCCAGGCATGCCCTCGCAAGCTTCGATCATGGCTGCGCTCGCCGCCCAGTCTCAACCCGGCAAATCGCCCGGTCAAACGTACACCTCGATCCTCGGCCAAGCCGTTGCCGCAAAGACGCCCGCCGAGGACGCGGGTATGGCGCTCGAAGCACGTCTCGTTGACCGCGACACAGGCGCCAACCTGGCCCGTCTCTACTGTCCCATGGAGAATTGTCGTTGCTGCATCCTCGCCAAAGGTGCGGGCGAGTGGACGCGCAAGGAGTCCGGGCCGCTGTCGAATCCGTCCCTCGAGCTGCCCAATTCGCCGTCGCCGCCACAGGCACCTGCGTTCCCACTGCACGCAGCGAGCGCCGGTGCCTCCCATCGACTGCTCACCAGCGTCAAAGGCTTCTGGACGGTAGCTGGGCCTTTGCAGTTTGACAACGTCGGCTTCTCACGCGATCTCAAGTGGACGGTGCCTAGCGATCCCACTTCACCGAAGTCCCCGCCTGAGCCAGTGTCGAGCCCGCCGCCCACGAAAGCGCAGGAGAAGGAAGCAAAGGACAAGCTCAAGCGCGAAGAAAAGGAGCGACAGCGCGAGGAGAAGGAGAAGCGCAAGCAGCAGAAGCGCAACAAACGCGGCGGAAGCGGGTCGGAGGACTCGGACGAAGACGTGGCGGCGTTGCTCTCGCATCTCAGCCTAGGCTTGAACCCGGGCGAGGAGCTGACGGTCAAGTACCTGCTCTGCCCCGATTGCGAGTGCGGACCGCTCGGGTTCACGATTCTGCCGACCGAGATGCAGGACGGGCGATTGGCCGCGCAAGTCGGCGATCAGGTGGAGAAGATGAAGGGCGGCATGATGGAGTCCGGCCAGTCGAAAGGCAAGGAGCAGGTATTCTACCTCGCAGCGGATAGGGTGAGGTATCAGTTCGAGCGATCATGATCACACATTGTAGGAATACGTCAAATGCATTGCCAAGCCAACCTGCGAGTCTGTGTCATGTGTGTCGGCTTAACCGCTCTTGGGAGGCGGATGAGTCTTTCTCCAGTGATTGGCAATCTCCTCTCTGGTCGCGACCCACACTCCCCCACCGCCACCCTCCCTGAGCTCGGCATCCCTCCGCTTGACATGCTCCACAAACCGTTGCAGACCCTGAAACCTCCCTGGCCTACCCACCACCCGACAATGCAAGCCAACACTCATCATCTTGGGCACCGACATAGGGTTGCTCTCGGGCAAAAACGTCTCGGCCACCAACGTCTCGAACGCATCGATGAGATACGTTGCGAACGACTCCGAGTTGAAGAAGCCTGGCGTGATGGCGAATCGCATGTCGTTGTTATCCAGCGTGTAGGGCACCACGAGCAGGTGTTCACCCTTCGTCCCATCAGGAGCAGGGACCCAATACGGCAGATCCTCGTCGTACGCATCGCTGTCGTAGAGCTCGTGTTCCAGCCCCATCTCCTTGTACACCTGATACACCAGTCTTCTGGTGTTGATCGACTGTCGTCCCGTGTACCACCCGCGGGGCTCCCTGCTCTTCCCGCTCGCCTCCTTGATCGCCCGCACCGCGCTCTGGATGTGCTCCCGCTCCTCCTCCTGACCCATCAACGAGTGGTCGAACCACCTGTATGAGTGACTGGCCACTTCGCACCCTGCGTCTTCCATCGCCCGCACCGCCGCTGGGTTCTGCTCCACCGCCCGACCCACTGCCCAACTCGTAAACCGCAGTCCGTTGCGCTTGAACAGGTCGAGCACGCGCCAGAACCCGCGATGCGATCCAAACTCGTACGCCGACTCGACACTTAAATTGCGCACGCCCGTAGGAGGCTTGGACCCGTTGGCAGCGCCGTATTCCGTGAGGTACTGTTCGGCGCCCGCGTCGCCGTTGAGCGTGAGGTTCTCACCACCCTCTTCGTAGTTGAGGACGAAGGAGATGGCAATGCGCGCGTTACCCGGCCAGTGCGGGTGGGGCGGGTTGGCACCGTACCCGACCATATCGCGTGGATCGTGCGGGTTGAAATCGTTGCTCAAGTTGACAGGCAGCGGGTTGGCGGAGCGATCGACTTGCTGGGACTCGTTCGGATAGCCGAGGTACTTGGGCAACCCATCGGCAACATCAGCGATCTTCCATGGGCCATAGAACATGTGCGCCGTAGCAGGGAACGTCTCTGTGCCCTGGAGACTGCTTTCGTCGCCGTTGGCGCGAGCGAGTGTGCTGGGCCAGATAGACCATTGCTGCTTGGCCGAGTTCCATGAGCCCATCGGATTGCCGCACTCGGAACAGCGCAGCTTCCACTTGCGACCTGCGACGGATTCATACAGCGCCGCAGTGGTCACACCCGCGCCCATCACCTGTTGGACTTGCGAGTCGGCCGTGTTGCTGGAGGGAGAAGGGGAGGACCACGTGACGGCATCCTTGGCCCAGTGAGTGGTCCACACGTAGGGAGCACCATTGATGCGTTGGCAGCGCGTGCAGTGACAGTACGCAGAGAGGCGGAGGTTGGCGGGAGAGGCGTCGAGGGTGTACTCGAGCGCACCGCAGTTGCAGTGTCCGCGAAGGG